CCCACACCCACACCCACACCCACACCCACACCCACACCCACATCCATACCCGCACCCACACCCACACCCACCCACACCCTTTCTTTTCTTTTACTTGGCGTAGCACAAAACGACGATGTTTTCAATCGAGCCTGCTTACGAACTCCCTCTAACTTTGTCCGATCAGGCTGAAATTCTTATCACAAATTCTGGAAAGTATTCTCCAGAGGTAAAATCAGCCATTTCTATTGTGAACCTTACTATTCGGATGTATAGGATTGTGGACGCCATGACTCGGATTTTGGATCCGCACCTGTCCGTATCTCTCTCATTAAGAAAAAAGCGATATTTTTAAAAAAGCTCAAAACTACCTCTGAGACATAACCCTAGGTAGCTCAAAAAAATTTTCAGCCCAAAATGGAAGTCTGTACTGTGGTCCGATGCGGACCAATGGAAAACTACAGTTTTCCCAAAGAAATCGAAAAAACCTCTTTTAAATTTTTTTCCTCGAATACGTATAAGCTTATTTTAGATGCTCTAACTGTGGTAAAAATTTCAAGCGGATCGGTTATACCCTCTTCGAGAACCGGAAATAGTCAGAAAATCGAGGGGAGGGGTACTCTTAAGTTCACCCACATCATCACTCATACATGATAACCATGCAAGACAGATAGCTGCTGTTGCATATTTTGCAGAATCAAATTTAAGTAAAAATAGTAAGATTTCGATACAACTATTGGACAAATATTCAGAAATGAATTAAAGAACAATTTTGCAGTTTCAAATTTTTGTTATAAGAGAGTGTGACTGTGAGCCCTGAAGATAAAAGCCCACTCACACGCTCAATTGAGATATATTTAAAGGAGTTAAATAATATAAACAAATGTTTTATAATTACAAATAGTCTTGATTAAGTATGTTAACAAAAAAAGGTATATGTTCAACTGTACGTTGCAAATTTTTCGAATTAGTTTCATGACGGATACGTTGCATTGACACCTAAACTGGCAGCCATATTACCCAATGCAATAACCATGAAGAATTGCTGTAATAAAACAGCTTCATCCATAGTTAACATGTGTGGCACTTCTTGTATTGATTCTTTTGTTTCTTGCCATATGCCACCTAATATACTTTTAGATTCACGAATTAATAACAAATCAGGTGCTAATTGCCAGTCTGCATCAATATCAACAATAAAGAATGAAGCAGTATTTTTTGTACTATCACCATTTTTGAACAATGTCACTGAACGATATGTTCCATTCATAGCAGGCGAATAAAGATATTCGATACGATCCCATGCAAAATCATCTGAATAAGTTAAACCAAGCATAAAACTACCTTTTGAGGGTAAATTATAATCGAAAATGATTGCATTTACGAATTCATCTACTTTATTAGCTGGAATATCAATTACTTTAAAAGTTGATGATTTCTGATGGAAATATGTAAAGCCTAAACGAATGATTCTTGTAATCGTGGTGGAACTACTTGATTGAAGTGCGCTCACAATATCTTTCCATGCCTTAGCAGCAGCTGAAACAGCTTGAGATAAGGCAATTATTTTCGCAGCAAGTGTTCGTGATTCTTTATGAATCATACTATTCGTAAATGTTTCTGGTGAAAGTGTTATTGGATTAAAGTAGGACAACATTCGATGTGTTTTTGGAACAAATACACTAGCACCGATGAAACGTAAAATATTCAGTATAGTAGTTGTTATCTTTAATTGCCATGATGTTACTAATGTTATTAGATTTTCACGCCAAAATTTACCATCATCTGTTAGCACTGATGTTCGTACAATATTCGTTTTACTTTTATGATCATTTGTGTTCATAGATTGGTTATATAAGAGCTTTTCGATTAAGGATTGTGAAGTAATATTCAAAAATAGAAAATTAATTGTATATGTCGAATTATCAAGACTTTGACCAAGTATCCAAATATATTTCATAATGGTCACATCAATAGTTTCACTGCTAGGTCGAGATGTAAATAAATTTTCATATGAGAATCGTGACGATTGTAATTCTTGTGAATATTGCGGATTTGAAGAGATATCATTAAAACCATATTCATTTGCTAATGTTCTTAGTAATATACCAACATTTTGACGTTCAACTTTTTTCAATTTTAATGTTTGACTTGCAAGTTTCAAAGATATAATATTTGATTGTAATGCTGTTAAAACTGAATCATTGTATGATGTTAAAACTTCTGTTCTAACATTATCATTTGAAAGATATTGTTCGATAGCTTTTGTTAAATCATTCGTTTCAT